TCAGGGCATTCGCCGTTGGTACAATAGGCATCACGAGGTTGTCCTATCGCTCACGCCTCTCACCAGCTTAATCTCATCTTCGCCAAGGTTTTCCGAGTCGTCTTCCCCCCCGCCGGTCGTGGCCGCGGCCATATTCTCTGCTCCAGTCTTCGCGGAAACCATGGCGGTGAATTTGGAGATGATCGCAGTGTCACTGATTCCCTCGAACATGATGTTCCACGGAGCTTCGCCCCGTATCTCCTTGTCGGCCTTCAGCCACTGCTGCGGCACCGTTTCCTTGCGACCTCTAACCTGCCAGCATTGAAACTTGAGCCCTGCGTCAAACATGACAAAGCGCCGGAAAAAAAAAACAGGAGGAGACATGCGCAAAGATTTGAAACGCTCTTGGTTATTTTTTCACAGCTGCGCATGATGGCTGAACAACACTGCTGCATGCTAATAAGATAGAAGATGGCAGCAACCGGGGGGATGTAACGAAACCCATGGTGCGTGGCAAATGATGTGGATGTGCAATATGTGTGTCTCACTCAACAGGAGGGCGCGCGCGATTTTTGATTTTTGAAATGCGGATCAAACCAGTCACCTATCCGTACTACATGCCTGGTACCACTTACGTACGCTGGTGAGCTATCCATCAAGGGACAATCAAAGGACGTGCTACAACTGCTTGGCTGCGTCCCGCATGTGGGAGTATGGCGGTGTTGAGCCTAACTAAGTTGATGGGATGCGGCGGCCGGGCGTGTCTTCTTCTTGTTCTCGTGCGATTGTGTGTACACATACATACATACATGGACAAAGTTGAGTTGCGAGTTGCGCGCGCGATCGTAGCAGCAGCAGCAGCAGCAGCAGCAGCAGCAGCAGCAATCTCGAGGGAGGCGAAGCGAACCAGAAGGCGGCCGTACAACTGCAAATGCGAATCATGCCGGAGCTGGATCCTATCGCATCATGCCAGAGCTATATCCTATCTGCGAATCAAGGCAACAGCAGCAGGACATATGGCGGTCTAGACCCAAGATGGACCATGTGTAGAAAGGGAGCCGTACTCTCGCATCTACACAGCAGTAGAGACTTACCCTTCTCAGCAACGCGGATCATGATGGAAGCGTCCACTTGCCCTTCCTTGGTGGCTTAGCCTGCACATTGCCACGCGGTGTCGACAGGACCTGTACTCCATCCTCCTCAAGACCACCAGCAGGAGGAGGTGGGTTGCCAGAGCCGCCACTGCTGTCTCTCGACTCTTCTCCGCCGAACTCCTCCAGTTCCCTAGCCTTCCGCTGCCCTGCTGCCAGAAAAGAAGCCTCCTGGTCGTCGCTAACCCTATCACGAACTTTGAAAGAGGGGGCTTCGGTCCTCGAGCTTTGGCGGACTGCGTTGGTCGACATCCTTCCTGTCGCCACTCGCCCTGGTGTGGTCTGGTGCGGTCTGTCTGTGCGGTGCTGCTGTGCTACTACTGTCCTGCTAAGTTCCCTTTCATAAAAAATAAACTTTGAACAGGAACGGAAATGTTCAGCTTTTACAGACGCCAGCTGGCCTTCGTGCTAAAAAATCTTCCTGGGGTCGAAAGTTCATTTTTAGGGCGGCCATAAACTGGCTCTTTTCCCTAAAAAGTGAACGTGAACTTGTCAAAACGCATTTCCGAAACAGTGTATTAGCTCTTTTCTAGTATCTAGCGCCCGCGGTCACACCAAATGCTGGAGCCATAGAAAGATCCGAAGAACACAGAAAATCAAACAGAAGAGCGCCGACGCACGTCGAAGGAAGGCACTTCTTTGGACGTATTTGTCCCTGTGTTAAGACTACTGAACTACGCACCACGGACAATCCTTCGGCTACAGCAGTAACCCCTGATCCCAATTCCTCCTCCAACCAACTCTCGGTTGCTGGCTACAGTAGAACCTACTGTCTGGAGTGCTGCCCGCACCGTACCACGTACGGTA